TAAGGCCCAAGATGAAGATAACTATTTATAAGGTCAAATAAAAATAATTACAGATAAGGAACTAAAATTCAAAAATAATCATATAAGGCCCAAGATGAAGATAACTATTTATAAGGTCAAATAAAAATAATTACAGATAAGGAACTAAAATTCAAAAATATTGCAAACAATTCGCATAGAAAATGATGCTTGACCGATTAAATTTACAAACTAGATAATTTCAGCATCAAAGATGATTTTATAATTCGAATATGATTGAAAATTAAAGACAAAAACTGTGTACATATATTATCTAAACGCCAAAAACTATTGTCATCTTCAATTTATCTATCTTTTTATAAAATTTTACCATTCATTTATGTTAACCACAATACTACATATACTTATGACATGTAAAGTGTTCGTTAAGCTCTAAACGGTTTCTGCTAAATCTTGTCTATTTATAAAGCCTTCTATTATAAAAATGTTATAGCGTCATTGTGTTATAAATCGACGTAGCAATCTCACAATAGATCTGGTCCTCCTGCATTTGTAATATTTGTCAAATTTTGGTCCTTATATTTAACTATTTTTTGACCTTATCATTTTCGGGCCCTTATTTGTAATTCTCCAATAATTAATCAATTACTAACACCCGGTCAATATATAATAATTTGATCAAACCTGGCTAATGTAAAGAATGCTTCCTCAACATTTATGTTTTCTTTAGCACTGGTTTCGAAAAATTTGATTCCAAATTCATCTGCAAGTGCTTGACCTTGTTCTTTAGTAATTACCTGTGAGACAAATAATAATGAATTTTTTTTTTAATTTTTTAAATCTGTTTACTTTCATTACATTTACCCTTTTCTCGAACAAATCACAACTGCTTCCAATGAGGATCTTATTAACTCCTTCAGAAGCATGTTGCTCTACATTACTAAACCAAATTCTTATATCTAATTAACCATGAAGAATTGTTTAAAACAATAATATTCTCGCAAATATAGAATACTTCATTTACTTATATGTTAAACACTTCGGAATTATGAAGGATACTATTAAAAGACCGTTCATCGGTAATATCATATACAAAAGCTATACCCATAGTACCACGGTAGTAGGCTTCATGATAGAGTTACAAATATATGAATCATACCGAACACAAAAATATAGACACACCGAATAATATTCTTGGTTTACCTGTAGTAATCGTACGAAAACGTTCTGGACCTGCAGTATCCCACACTTGGAGCTTGATTCGTTTACCATCCAACTCAATATTTTTATTTTTAAAGTCAATTCCTATAGTAGCCCTACAACCAGGAATAAAAGATCTATCCGAGAAACGGTGCAACAATTGTGACTTTCCAACACCTGTAAAAAGTTGCAGTTTCGATTATATATAATTGTTTGCTGTAATTGCATAAATTTTGTTTATATACCAACCACTATCTCCAATTAGCAAAAGCTTCATTGAATAATCGTACTCAGCACTTGTACTTTGGGCCATCAGTCCGTATCTATTAGAATGCAAATGCAAAGCGATTTTTAGCATTGTGATAGTGTATTTATTCTCGTGAGTAATACAAACTTCTAAAAGGAAATAGATAATCAGCAGAAGGTATACTAGAGAAGTATATTTTAAGATTTAAAGTTTGGAATCGGACTTAAATCCGAACTCTTCTAATCCGAATAAAACCAAATCCACAAAATCTGTTAAACAAACGTGATATAAAATACAAACGAACGGAGGGCAAAAGTATTCAATCACTATCGTGACTTCGAATTGATATAGATGAGGAAAATAATAATAATCTAACTTTCGAATTTATTAAATAAATTGTTAAACCCTTTTTCTTCATTAATAACTACTAAAACGTAAAGATATAATTTTCTAAATTAAAAATCTTTCGATCGAAGATTGGGAACTCACATTATGATGAAATGTTTGAATGTACTGAAGAAACCAAATATTTCATATAACTCAGTTTAGATATTGGATTACTCATTTCTTTAGAATCCTTTATATCGGTAAGGTTGAAAAGCTTCATTTAATTAACAACCGGAAATAATTTAAGAACACAATTGTCAATTCGAAAGTTTTTATGAACTAACCTGCACCCGAGCATGCCGTTAAAATAAAATTCGTATATGATACTGTTATACCCCTCGGCAAATGGTCGGAACGAAAATGCAACACAAAAATATAAAGGTTGTGTTACCTAAACAAAAGAAAAGTCTTAATAGATTCCCAAAGTTCTGAAAAAAAATACGTAAGTGATTTATAAATAATAACGGTCAAAATTTTAATATTTATTTTCATATATTAATATATATGATAATAACCAATAATGTGGCAATTCTTCTGATGAAACTAAAAATTTATCTGCTCAGAAAATTACAAGATGACATGGATGTATAAACAATTTTCGATACCGTTAAATCACATCAGTTGGTGTTAAACACCACAGTTGCTATATCTCAAAAACTGTCTAAATAACCAAGACCAGGCATATTAAGTAAAAATGATCAGCATCCCAAAAATCTTCAACTTTCTATAGCCTTTAACTTTTTAACCCTAACCTTAAATATTGACAACAAATTATAATAATATATAGTAATTCTGTTGGTACTAGAGATGGGTTCGGTTACGAACGGTTACGATTATTCATAGCTAATTTGCTAAATTCTGTGATGATTTTTTTATTTTTGTGCTTTTAATTAAAGTTATTCAGAATTATATTCTATTCATCCCATCTTATAAATAGAAAGAACGATACCTTCTCTGGAACTCGGGATTTTAAAATTTGTTAACGTCATAGCCGACTATTAGTTGGCGGACTATGACGTTAACAAATTTTAAAATTCCGAATTACAGAGAAGGTATCGTTCTTTCCACTTATAAGATGGGATGAACAGAATTTAATTCTGAACAACTTTAATTAAAAGCACAAAAATAAAAAAATCATCACAGAATTTAGCAAATTAGCTATTAATAATCGTAGCCATTCGTAACCGAATCCATCCCTAGTTGGTACGATCATAGTAAAGTGCCGTATAAAAAAAATTAAATGGTGTTCAACACCACTGGTGCGATTTATAATAATTTTTTTTGCTTGAAATTTATGTAATGTGTGATCAAAGAAAAAAAGTTTTTGATAAATTTTCACTGATCGTAAAGCAATATACTTGTTACCCGAAACCTTTTTGCTAAAATCCGAAAGTTTCGGGTTTCGGATTATACTTTCCCCGAAACCCAAATCCTCTCCCGAAACCCGAAACCTCTCCCGAAATCTGAAACCTATTCCGAAACTTAAAACTCTCATCCGAAACTCTAATTATGCGATATATGTATTTATTTTGTGCAGCACATTAATATTATTTCAGATTTTTTTTATATTTGCTAAAAAATTTTTTACTCGTTTATTATTTATGACGTAGAGGTCGGAATCAGTTTATTTAATTTAACTTTAAACTCGAGCTAATCCGGTTTTAATAGAAAACCGGTTTAATTAGCAACCAGTTTTTTAATATCAAACCAGTTTAATACCAAACCACTTAATTGGTAATCGGTTTTATAGCAAATAAAGGGTTAATTCTGTTGTAAAACTCTAATAAACCGACTTTAAAATTAAATTGGTTTTTATTTATCATGAAAATGTCGATATATATATTTCTCTAATTTGACACACAAAAAATCGAATGAATACTTTAAAAAACAATCAAATAGATATTACCGTTCATTTTATTGGTAAGACATCGAAAATTGTAACTTCCCAATGATTATTTGGAAACTTGTAAAAACGAAAGTATAACTTTATAGACCTACATCGCTTTTTTTTTTTAAAAAAAAAAAAAAAAATTCACTTATTTGTCAGAGATACAACTCAAAAATAAAAAAATAAAATTTCGAAGACTAAAGAATAATCGGCAAGGTACTTTGATTGTCCACATTTTTTGACTGATATTTTATGACAGAAATAGAGGTTAAAATTGGTTTGTTAATTCGACTTGAAATTCAAGTTAACCCGGTTTTAATAAATTCGGTTTAAACTCAATACAATTCAATTTTTGAATTTCAAACCGGTTCCAACTTTAGACAAATAAAATGAAACGAAGATTCAATGAATAAATTTTTAATAAAGAACTGAAAATTTTAAGCCGAACCAAACATTCAAACAATTTATGTAGTTTGAAGTTAATCTTGTTTCATAACTACTGCTATTATACTCATTGATGTAGAGGAGCAAAATTTCGTGTATCAGAACATTCAAATACAAGTCACGATGACAAGTATACTATAAATATCGCGTAATGAATGAAAGAATGGCGTATTTTTAAAAATAACTTTAAAATTTTTTATTTAATAAGGTTTCAAAGAATAATCAATTACATGTGAAAGAACGAAAGGTTAAAAAATGTTAGAAACTACAAAGTTCATTTGTCAATTACCTTAAAGAATTCCAAAAAATCAGATGATATCAAAATAAATGGTCACGTTGGATTTCAATTTGGTAAAAGATATTTCTTTTAACTAAAAAGTTTCTAAATAGAAGACAAAAAGTTTCACGGAAATCTTGCTTTTTTACCGCAAGACTATTATTCAATGATTTCATTAAAAAAAGAACACGGACAAAGAATTCTATATGGAATGGTTGTGTTCGTATTTGAATAATACCAAATCCACGAGAAATTTATGCCGTGATATTGTTGGCTTTGAGTCATATGACATGTGCAAAAAAAAAAAAAGCAAGTATTAACACATTATGACCAATAATATGTACGTTGTTAGAAAATTCCACAGATCCAATTTTGATAAGATTACTAAAATTACAGGGTTAGGGGACGTATTATGCGACACATAGGCTGGAGAATGTGATGTTAAATAATCACATGAAAATAAATAATGACATATGTTACATGTTACTAGTTAATTTTATGTGATGATTTAGTATCACACCTCATGTATGATTTTCTGCCCCGGATCATAGACCATCATAGACCGATACGAGTAATTAAGATTGACCCTTAATGGAGATAAAAAAAACCATGTGCTTGAAGTGCTTGAAATAAATAATGCGATTTACTCGTGATATTTATAGATTTACCTTTTTTAGAAACCGTACAACCAAGTGTGATCAAATTTAATAAATTATGCATAGAGATAAGGAGTTTGTTATCCGATCAAGTGATTAGATCATTAAAAAATCATTTGATGAGAATTAAAATTAGCAGCATTATATTTTATACCAAAAAAATTAATGCGCTAGCCTAAACATAGTGAAGTTTGTATGTCATTTGAAACCGGGATTAGACTCCGGAATTTTTTTTTGTAATATTGCATTAGTTTAGTAAAGAATAAATAAACAAGATTTGTTTATATTTGAGTTTTGGGTGGGTTACCCGGTTTTGCAATGTTTGTTAAAGAAATGTCGTATTAAGCAGAGAATATTCTCGTGACAATAGTTTGCAGAAAGTGTAACATAGTAAGGTAATAAAAAAGATAAAGAAATTAGGAATAGAAACAAAATATAGAACAATAGAAAGGAAGTATGACTCGATAGAAGTTTCACTCATGACCATGACCACGGGGATAAAGGTAATTCCGAATCAAGTCCACGATTCAATGGAGTCGTTGATCAAAACTTATAGTCAACAGTATAATGCATTTGTTATTATGTCAAAGATGTTTATATGATAATGTTTATTTTAAAATGATCACACGATATCTAGAATAAGTTCAATTTTAAAAAATTCGTTGTTTCTTTGGCTATTATAATGAGATTACACATTCCGACAAAAAGTTTATATAAGCAGAGAGTCACATAATACTCTTTAAAAAAAAACTATTTAAAGAGTGAGAGTTAGACTTGTTTCTTTCCAAGGAAAATTGATAATCGATTATTTCTAAAACATTTCTTTGGCAAAATTTTTAAACACAATGGCACAATCACAATTGAATCTTAGCTTTGAAGGAATTCCCGAAGATTTCAATTACTTTTATTTATACTTTCCGAAGTATAAATATAAGACTCTTACATTAATGTCGACTAAAAAACGACATATTAAAAATATCAAAAAAAATGCATCGCCTCCTCGTCCTCCTAATAAATTTTTTCTCTTCAAGAATGCATTCATGCTGGAATTCAAATATCAGTATCAGAAACGTTTCGAAAAACTAAGTATGCCAAACTTGTGTAAGTACACACAAGAAATTTGGAAGAATGTACCAGAGGAAGTGAAAACTACATACGCTAAGTTGGCAGGTATGTGTGTTTCTTTTTTATTAGGACTATTATTATTATTGAGTTTATAATTTAATGTAAATTATGTAAAAATATCATTATACAGTGGAAGCACAAACTATGCACAATGAGCTTTTTCCAAATTATGTGTATAGACCCAATAAAAAAAAAAGAGTTAAAAAAGGAGCATGTGTAAATGATCAAGAAGATAGCTCTATGAGTAAGAATATGTCGACTTTTAGCAGTACAACTCTTTTAGCAGAACAATTGCATTCGATTGAAGATCCACAAACTACTATATCACCAGTTGCTACACCTCCTATTACTTCATCTACTACTACTTCACCTATTATTAATTCACTTACTACTCCATCTGATGGATCACCTCTTATTCCTTCACTTGAGGGACAAACATTTTTTCAACCTCCTGAGGAATTTGATTTTTCTTTGACTGGAACACAATATACTATATCACCGGTTGCTACACCTCTTATTACTTCATCTACTACTACTTCACCTATTATTAATTCACCTACTACTCCATCTGATGGATCGCCTCTTATTTCTTCACTTGAGGGACAAACATTTTTTCAACCTCCTGAGGAATTTGGATTTCATTTGACTGGAACACAATTTACTCTTTTGCCTGATGTATCAACATATATGTTTTATCCTGAGGAATCAATTATTCCTGAGGGATCTTTGGCATTGGAATTCCCCACTAACCTCGACAATATTAATCATATTACATCTGGTTCTTATGAAATGGCCAATAACATTTTGCCTAACGATGATCTTAATAGCTTTCTGATTACGATGACTCATTGAATTTGTATTTTTAGAATTTGCATTTTTAGAATTTGCATTTTTAGATGCCTGTAATATAAATTATTATTTTCTTGAACTAATCAGAGGACACACGGCTTTTATAACGGTATATAAGTCCGTCCGTCCGTTCGTAATATTTGCTAGACATAATAAGCATGATGACAATGAATTTTCGGATTATAACTCCGGAAACACAATATTTGTTACTTAGTTAATCTCAACTTCTTAATGAATTGTATAAAGTTTCCTTTTGAACATTTTATTTTATTTTTTTATTGGTATATAGTTACTGTAATTTTAGATAATACTTTATAGACACGGTTTTATTTTTGAACTTTTTAGAATTTTGTGATTTCATCGAACTTTTTTCGTGTAACTCTCCATTTAATCGTTTCTATACAAATTGTATAGAAGTTTATCGTTTCTATACAAATTATATAGAAGTTTATCGTTTCTATTCAAATTATATAGAAGTTTATCGTTTCTATTCAAATTATATAGAAGTTTATCGTTTCTACACAAATTGTATAGAAGTTTATCGTTATGAGATAGGTTTTCTTCTTATCTTTGTAAATTCGTAAACATCGTAAATATCGTAATGTATATTTTTTTTCTTTGGCAATAAATCTGATTATTTCGTATTAAATAAATATATTTCATATTATTAATAAATACATTTCATGTTATTAATAAATATATTTCATGTTATTAATAAATATATTTCATGTTAGTTACGTCAATAATATACAATCATAAGTTTGAATATAATATTATTACCTATGTACTGTAATATAAAATATTATAATAAATTTTTACAGTATTTAATAATACCAGAGATAATACTAGAGCTAGGGGAGTATCATGCTCCGAAACACTCCAGTTTAAACCTGGGATGAATAAAATATTCAAACCAGTTTGCTAAACTGAAGACCAAACTGGAGTATTATATTGGAACTTAGTACGTATTCCAAGTTGGTTTGTGTTGTAACTAATTCAAACCAACCAAACCAAAGCCAAAACTCTAGATAATAAATGAAAAAACGATAAAAACTTTCAAATCACGTGAAATATCATCATTTCGGATAATTTCAAGGAAAATTCCATTTTTTTTTGATGTCAGACTTAAAACAATGGGCAATGTGGGGAAAAGTTTCCTTTAAAAAAAATTAAATATGCTTATATAATTCAAGATCATATGAGAAAACTATAAATATATACAGTATATTGTGTGATTTAATCAGCAAACAAAATTTATAATTTTGACGTTTTTTAATACGTACAGTAATACAATAAAGTTCAAAAGTTGACCTATTTATTTAACCTTATCATTGTAGTTAGCTAATTGTTTATACCAGGTGATTAACTTTGTCAGATATTATAATTTTTGTAACACGAACCAAAATCAGTAAGGCAGGTATACGTATTATTTTTATAGCATTTGAATACATGACTGATAATATTTTGATTATACTGATACAGTATCTGAATAAAGATTTATTATTGCATAGTTAATGGTAATACACATTCACTCGCTTTATTGATTACGTAAAGACAATGGTTTTCTTACGTAACAAGAATCTCTTACATACTAAAATTTAGAATTTATTTATTTTGGTCACGTGGTAAATCTCAGAACATCTTCAAACCATTTATTTGCAAAAATAAATTCGTCTATATACAATGCTTACATGTTTTTTAAATGGGATTGTCTATTCTATAGAAAGGTCATTGATTATTTACAAGAGGAACTACTGTAAAAAGTAATCTTACGGGGAAAAAAGAATTTTACATAATTTTTACATATGGGTTCGTGCTTATTTCTTGGCTTAGATGAAACTTAGTTGCGTTTACGCATTGCGGCAATTTTATGACGTGTCTATATGTAAATAAAGTATGATTTATTTTAATATTTTAATTTAAAATATATTTAAATGATTTAAATGATTTTATAGTGATTAATACATAATCAGATAAACATACCTCTCTTAATAATTGGATAGTACGATTTGCTTGTAAAATACAAGGTGATTCTATAACTCGGTCTTTTATAGGTGAAACTTCTGAAGTAGTCTTAATATTTTCATTTTTTATAGGCTCAGTATCATCATCATGTGGTGCAGAGTCGTTCAAATTAACAAAGTAAAATGAGGTTTTGCGTTGTGGTCGTTTATGTTCACGTTTTATCGGCTTGGGTGATGTTTGAAGACCAAGGTAGCCAGAAAATGGAATTTGTGTGTTCGGTGCCATCTTTGGTGGTAAGACTACTTCTAGAGAATATGTGGTGAAAAAAGGTTCGTATTCAGGTTCCTTGCGATTCGATTTTTTTGTCGGGACGTCAAATCCTAAATAATGGCTATAAGATGTGCAAATTTTTTCACTAATGTCGATGTCAAGGTCAAGGTCAACGAATACTCCAGAATCTCGAGCACGAGTGGTATGTTGATTAGAAGACATTTTTCAATGATTATATGTGTGTTTATGTTTTATTAGAATGGTATTTTTTTTTTTACGAAATTTTTTTGCTTGAGTGTTTTTTCTAAGAATTTTTGGAATTTTATTTCGATTGAATTTGCTTTGATCTGATGAATTCGTTCTTGGATGGAGAAATCGCCTTCATTTTATAACTATCTTGACGGTTCTAAGCTCATCAAAGTGTTTAACGATTTTGGGTTGTTCTAAGCTTATCAACATTCTTGTTACCTTTCCTAAAGTATTTTAACGATTTCAGGTTGTTCCAAGTTCGTCAAATTTTTCTAACCATTGTAATCATGCAAAATGCATTCAAAAATATTTGTAACGCAAGATAATGCAAGATAGTTCTAAGCTCGTCGACATTTCTTTGCTAATGCATGACAATCAGGAGAATACATACATAATTTCTTTGGTATTAATACAATGCTCTCATTTAATTTCTATTTAAATGAATTGACTAATTCGTGATTAATATTGTCGTATTGTGTAAAATTGTGTGAATTAAGGGCAATAATACTACAATGATTCTGATCAAATACGTAATAAAAAAATTACTTTCGTTCTTATGTACTCGTCATGTATTTATACTCGTCATGTATTTATAGAATCATGATTGCATAAAAACGCATGTATTAAGTTTTCTTGTCATGTAAATTAATGAATTACATGAAATATTTGATTTATTTTATCATGAAAAATTGGTAAAAAATATCGAATACTAAGTCCGGCTTAAAATTTTGAGTCAACAATAATTATTTTCGTAATTCGCCTGAATTAGGGATGGTCTAGTCAGGTTATGGAAAATTACCTTCGCATAAGAAATATCATTGATGATACGTATTACGACTAAAGTTGCAGACATTTAGAGGATCAAAGGTAGTTATTTTTATACGTCACCCTTTACGTCATATAAAATTTATATATAATTTGATACGTCATATTAAATACGTCACGCCAATACGTTATAGTAAATGTTAATTGATATTCTAATGTCCGCAGCTTTAATTACGACAACCATTAAACCAATTTCGATTAAGATTTTATTTACGTGACAGGTATGTAATTTTTGTTATATCATGATAGAACTTAACAGAACTTTCTAACATCGTCTTTTTGTTTATTCATAAATTCATGCGATATTGGTGAGTAAACATTTACGATTTAAATAAAATACCATGGTTTTCCACCCCTATCAATGATCAACGTCAAATCCACAAATGTATCTATCTTCCCGTTGGTAAAATTCAAAAAACGTATGGAATCGGAATCAGCACGTTACGAAAATGGTCAGATGAAGGAAAGATCAAACATTTATCCACACCAACAGCAAACGATTCTACCTTGTTGAAGACATTTCAAGATTATTTTGAGACCATGAGCAACCAAAACAAAAGAAAAAGATCTGTTACACATGAGTCAGCTCAGACAAGCAAAAAGAGGATCTTGAATGACAATGCGAATACCTCAAACAACGATACCCGGATCACGAATTTGTATCAGACATTGGATCAGGACTCAATTTCAAGAGAAAAGGTTTATTATCTCTTCTGGACCAATGCATCAAAGGAGTTATCAAGGAAGTTGTGGTTATCAGAAAGGATCAATTATGTAGGTTTGTTAGTAAGCTTGTTGAATAGATTTTTCATAAATAACAGGTCAGATTTGTGATTCTCAGTTCAGATGTGGAATCACAAGATACTAATTGTGAAGAACTGGTTAAAGATTTGTTATCAATTGTTACCATGTTCACAGTCAAACATAATGGTCTGCAAGCTGCATCTTACAAGAGACAATGAGAAAAAAGAAGCAAACAACACAGATGAGAAAACAACAAAAAATGAATGTTTAAAGATGCACAAGATTCATTTGTATCCCAATACGGAACAGCAAGTAATCTTGAAGAGATGAATGGGCATGTTAAGATGGACCTACAATCAGAGTCTGAGGATTTACAAGTTAGGAATAAAGAACCTACAGTTAGTGCACAAGCTCATAATAAACAAGAAAGATTTTAAAAATGATAAGTGTTTGATATTAAAGACTTTATTATTAATCAGTAATAATGTTTTTATAAAATTTAAAAAAATTTCAAAACAAATTAAAAAAATCACAAAAATTTGTAATAAGATTTAAATCAAAAAAAAACATTGTAAACAAAATTAAATTCAAATAAACATAAGAAATTATGACTATAAAAAGGATTTTTTTTTT